ATCCTAGCAAATCCAGCTAGTTTAAAAACTCCGGTGGATCGTCTTGGTTAGTTGCCGAAAGTAGTTGAATTTTGAAATTTAATTCATTTACATCAATGTTTTTGGCTGCCAATATAGCTCGTTAATTAATAGAAAGATATTTACATGTTTATATAAATATATTAAAAATTAGATTATCAAAAACTACACAAAATGTCATGACATAGATCATTGTTTTTTCTACAAATTTCGTTGCCTACTCGATTAAAAAAGAAAAGGGCTGTTTTTAGGGTTTTCCCGGCAATTATTCGATTTTTTCTCGCCGTAAGAACCATCCTTGGACATGAACGAACATTTTAAAAGAAGAATTGGCCAAATTGGTCCAGGCGTTGTTGAGTTATGCGCTTACCAACACATTTTGCGATCTATTTTTATATATAAGAAGATATAGAATTTTGAAAAATAAAATCGAGTAATCGAAATATTTCGAATTCTGAAAGAGAAGATAAGAGAAATTAAAAGAAAATATCAAGTGGTAAAAAATTGTTCAAATATTTAAAAAATCAGATTTACATATATTAATTAAATTTTGATAACTGTCAAAATGTAAAGAAGAAGAACTTTTATTAACACATTGAGAATTTAAAAAAATGAAAACAGATTCAGCAAACCTTCTTAGGTCAACATTTTGTTCAATATATAAAATAACGGGATTGCTTAAGTCAAAGGTGTGTTTAAAATTTTGCATATGGTCTGAAAGCATTGTTTTGTATTGATTTTTATTGTTTGAATTATATTTATGTTGAAGCATTCTCTTAGATATATATTGTGAACTCTCCTCAATATAGAATTTAAACGAACAAACAATATCAATATATATATATATATATATATATATATATATATATATATATATATATATTTATATATATATATATATTTATATATTGAAATATGTGAGTTTGGTGTTGATATATATTCTGATGAGTTATTTAGAATCGGGCAGTAACACCAAGTAAACATTTAAAATAATTATTTTTTGACAATTTTTGGTTACATTCTAGTGTGTACAGGTTAACTAACGTCTAAATACCGAATGAATTGTGTTTACAAATTTTGCGAAAGTGTAAAAAGACTGGAAAACAATTTTTCCAGTTTGCCAGTCTTTTTATACGTTCGCAAAATTTGTAAACACAATTCATTCAGTATTAAATAATTAGTTTAAATGTTCCAGTTATTAATAGCTTGGTTTATCACAGTGTAATAGTGTAGTGTATTCTTGTTTAATTAATTTTCTGTAAGTATTTATATATAAGTTCTATAACTTTATATTATTTTCCTCCTACATCATATAAAATCTTTTAGTTTTTCCACTGAGTCATAGTCTCGATGAAGACCGAAACGTATGGATAAATAAAGTATTTCAAAACTACTTTAGTTTTAACTTCCCGTAGGGTAAGTTATTGTAATGGGCCGAAAATCGGAATTGAAAATTTTTACATTTCTCGACGTTTTGAAGGTTTCTGAACGTTTTGGCATACCTCAGAAAAAATGGATGTGTGTGTGTGTGTGTGTGTGTATGTATGTATGGATACAAATTTTCGTCCACGTTTTCGGGCGTACGGATCAACCGATTTGAATGGTTTAAAAAACATTCGATTCCTATTAATAAGGAGAAGAGCTGATTAGTTTTTGGCAAAGACAGGTCTAAGGACTAAGCGTCCGATTCAATTGATTCAAAGAACTTTCTGCTTGTCTTAACAAAATAATTAATTTTGGAAAAAAAAAATGTTGTACCATTTTTTTTTTTTTTTTTTTTTTAATTTTTTGTATATCGAAAATAATTCAGATTTTATTTTTAATTCTGACTATAGTTCTAATATACTTTAAACAAATAATTTCAACTCTGCAATTCAGTTTATATAATTATTATAAATATTAGACAATAATACAATATTTATAATAATCTATTTGAAAACATTCAATATTCCTCGAACGTTTCGTTACGGTACGGGAAGTTCCAGCAATTTGCCTTAAGGCACGATGCCACCCACCCCACTAGTTTTTACTTGGTGTTACTGTCTGATTCTAAATAACTCATCAATATATATATATATACAGTGCTGGATTTACAGTAGGGGCAATCGGGGCTACTGCCCAGGGCGGCAAATTTTGGGGGGCGGCAAAATTTGGATAGTGAGAAAAAAAATCTATACAATATAATCAACGTTTTTAACAACATTTTTTATTTCAAGAAATATAATTAACAAAACATAATACGATTGCAATGCAAAATTTGGGTTGAAATAACCGATAACTAAAATTTATTATTTTTTCTTGCCTCCCTCTCCGAACGTAAATTATCGAATTGGTTAACTTATTAAAGTTATCAAATTTGGCAACTTGGCTAATATAAAGATCCATAAACAAGCTGAAAGTTTAACTAAAATATGTTTTTCAGTTCTCGAGCTCTCTTAAAATGACGAATTTGTGCACTTCCAAACTTATAGCGTCAAAAAAAAATTTAAACTAATGACTCATGGCATTGTGCCTTAAGACAAATTACTGAAACATCGCATACTAAAAATTACATTTTATAAAGAGCTTTAAATTTTTTTGAAAAATGAAAAAAAAAAAGACTTTTAAAATACATTTTTTGTATTTTGAAATTTTTCGAAAATTGAAAATTGATGAACTTTTTGCAAAGTAGTCGCGCTGCGTAGCTGTTTCAGAGAAGAAATATCGAAACTCAATTACCATTTTTCGTAATTGCCTGTACCAAAAGCTAATCAGCACGTCTCCTCTTCAATACAAATCTAATATTTTTTTAATTATTCAAGTCGATTTCGAGAACGCGGATCCAACGATTTGAATGATTCAATTCCTATTGATAAAAAGACGTGTTGATTAGTTATTGGCCAAGCAGGTCCAACTATTTCGAAGATACGGACCAGAATTCCAAAAATGATAATTCTGTTTTTGGAAACGGAGCGTCCAATATCATTAAAAAAATGTACATTTATTGACAAAATGAAGAACTGCTCCAATTTGTGGGAGGCACGTCTAGCGGTTTCGGTGATCCAATAAAAAAAATGGAAAATAAGCATTTGGCGGTCAAAAGTGATTATTACACATATGCACATCAAATTATTAGATATTTTATAGATATTTTAATGATAAGTAAAAATTTTGTATACATTTATGGGTTCTATAACATTGTTTATCCGTTAGACTGCGACGCGGCGCTTATACGCTTCTATATTTTGTGTCTGAAGCTGAAGCAGCGCGATTGCTTTAAAAAAAAGTTCAAAATTTTTAACAAATTTCTAAATATAAAAAACACAAAATTTTCAAAAAAGTCAATTCTTTTCAAAGTTTTTTTTTTTTTTTTAATTTTCGGTACGTGCAGCATTTTGTTATAAGGCACGATGCCAAGCATTACTATTTATAGTATGTAATGCGTAATAAATTTTCTGGAATCAAATAGTTATTTTAATTGAAAAAAAAGATATATAAAAACTATTCAAGTAAAATTTCAGGGATGGGGCGGCATTTTTGTCATTGCCCCAGGGCGCCAAATTTCTAAATCCGGCCCTGTATATATATATATATATATATATATATATATATATATATATATATATATATATATGTATATATATATATATATATATATATATACATACATATATATACATATATATACAGGGTGATATGTAATGTAACAAAGTAATGCGCAATATTTTTTTCATTGTTATTTTAAATTTTATTGTTCCAAAGCAAAAATGTCGAAAATAACATCAAATTTTAGAATCAGCTTAGATTTGTTCTAATTGCCTACTTTTGGCACGAATTATGGTCTTCAAACCATAACACACTGCACGAAAAGTGGCTCTGGAGAATTTTGGCCCATTCCCGGCAAGGCGTCTTCTTGAGATGATCGACACTTTTGTTTTTTTTTAGTGCAAACCTTACTCTTCAAATGCCTCAGACACAAAAGTCTAACGGAGTTAGATCCAGAGATTTTGGTGGCCATCGACTTTCGTGCAAGCGAAGCAACTCCTTAGCTCTTTACCATTAGCTTTTTACTGACAAGATAACCATCAGGTTTACTCTTCTGGGATTTTGATGAAACTTCGCATGGTTATAGGGTTGATTGTCAAACCGAGCACCTTTAAATATTAGAGTCTTATGAGAAGCGGTTTAATTATAAAAATTAAATAAAAATTGATTAAAGATACGAAAAACACGCTAAGCCCTATATCTACGCGCGTTGCGCTCCGTATCTGCGTGTCTAGATCGCCGAGTGGTTATTCTCAACTTTTTGTTCGAGTCCTAGGCTCATATTCGCCAGTTCGAATCCCGCCAGAATATTTATTTTTACATCTATTTGGTTAAGTATTATAATAATAATTATTAATTTGTTACATATACTACACAATAATGTGAAAGCATTCTGAAAATAAATATATTTGAATTGCGTACTGATAAAATAAAATAAAACATTTTTTTATAAATGATATTTATTTATAATTATTTATTTATTTATACATATTTCATAAGAAATAATCCTAAATACTCGTATCAGTATCTGTTAATGCCCCAACGCTGGGGTGTTTGAAATAGGTATAAACACACCTACAGGTAGGTAGAAATGTTAGTTTTTAGTCATTGTCAGAATAAAGCTTTCTAACATCTTATTACAGTTATATATCGAATTACTTTTATAATAAACTGAAAAATAATGTAGTATGATTTTGTTCTCTTCAGCTTTCAAATCAAATGCATCAATTAAAACTTGTTTTTCACAAGAAAATGAATATTCTCGTAATTCGATATATCAAAATTCTAATAATCGTTTAGGAGGAGTATTCTTTCATACATCATTACAGAAGAATTTTATATATAAGATATTTATAATCACCCGTTCTATTTATATTGTATATTTATCTTCTATCATAATACTGTAATATTTAGGTTTAATTTAAAAACAATATTTTCTAAATTAATGCTTTTTTCAGACGTTCGTGTTTATTTTATTTTGGTTCCAACTTTACTGTGGATTCTCGGCGTCAGTTATGATTGACCAAATGTACTTGTTGCTATACAATTTGATATTTACATCTCTTCCACCGTTTGCCATTGCTGTTTATGATAAAGATGCGTCTGAAGATATACTCATTAAAAGGCCATATTTATACAGACAGGTTTGTATACACAAATTCTACATTATTACTGCATTTAGTTTATATATATAACCTTATTGATACGTTTTTGTTATCATTCTTTCTGATATCATGTATACAAAATAAGAAAGTCTGCTTCAGAAAATTATAACAAAAACCGCATTTTCTTTATTATATGTATATCTATATTATATGTAAGTCTAGTTAGTCACTGTCAAATCTAGTGCATAATATGTTCGATTTTCTTTGGCCTTTTTTTTAAATTATTCACTCTCCTATATTTTACTTCTACCCTTCTTAGTTTTGAGAAGTAGAAGGTTTCAAAGGTTGCAGGCTAAATCGTTGATTTGGACTTGGGCCTTATTGAAAGTTATTGCAAATGCTGATCTTATCTGACTTAGTACTTTTGAATTGAATTTGTGTAATAGATTTAGAATTTTGGCTTTTGAAACGCTTTTTGTATAATATATTACACATTTATAACAAAACCCGTACATCATTCTTATTTATCTCGTCGCTTACTTCCATTTTGGCACGACCTGCCAAACTCCCACATCATTCCCCCCGCCTTTTTCGGAATTAATAAATTTACGAAATATTGAAAATCAAATTTTTATTTTATAATGATTTTTTTAATTTCATTAATAAATATATAACTGACAAATCCAATCTTACTCAGTACGTCATTTTTATTTATCTCGCCTGCCAAACTCCGACACGCTTATTATTACTTTCCAATTACGAAATTACTACTATACTATTGTATGTATCATACTCTGAAGTGGGCAACCTACTCATTTTGCTTAGGTTTGCTACACCTCACTACATGTTTACATAATCATCAGTTAGATATTATTGAACTGCAAGAAAAGAGAGGCACCGTCTTGCCTGCAAATACAGACAAACAGTTTCATCAGTTTTTTATATAAAGAAAAATTATATACAAGAATGTTAATTAATACCTTTTTCAGGGTCGTTTAAGTTTAAGCTACAGGTTGCATTCATTTTGGATTACTTTGGCAGATTCATTGTATCAAAGTATTGTCATTTATTTTGTTGCTCAAGTTGCCTATGAAGAATCTGATGTTGGAATTTGGGAATTTGGTTCTACTTTAACGTCAAGTTGTATCATAGCAATGATTGCGCATGTCGCCATAGAAATCAAATCATGGGTAAGTTAATATTTATAATCATTTTTGGTGATTTTTGGCCAGTACCTTTGAAAAGGCTGAACATGCCTTAGCCAAAAACAAATCAGCGCTTTTCCCCATCAATAGGAATGTAATGTTTTTGGAATCATTTAAATCGGTTTACCTGTGCGTCGACGAAAAATTGTATTCACACATCATATACACACCAACACTTGCACACATACATACATTCATTTTCTCTAAGGTATGTCAAAGTGTTCTGAAACCTTGGAAACGTGAAAATATATCAAAATTTTTATTCTCGTTTTTTCACGATTACTGTAACTTATCCTACAGGAAGTTAACAATGCCCTTAGAACTCTTCTTTGGTGGCGGGATTAGCTTATGAGTAGCGTTCCCGATTCACAGGCCGGAGGTTCGGAGATCGAAAACCCCAGCAAAAAATAGAAATACTGTTAAAAATAGTTTAAAATAAAGTTAAAAATAGTTTGAAATAATGTTAAAAATAGTTTGAAGTAGTATTAAAACAGGTCAATCGTGTAGAAAAGATTTGAGAATAAAAATTAAATTGAATAGAAGTAATGAAGGAAGTAATGGAAGTAAGAATAGAAGTAATGAAGACGTAAGAAGATAGAATGTACAATGATAGATAATAAAGAAAAAAAGAATAATGAAGTTACGTTGAAGAGTACATAGAATAGAATAGAATATAAAATAGAAAGAAGAATAGGACTTTTATAAGGAAAATAGTTTGAACATGAAGATTGTATTGTAATTGAAATATTGTATTGAAATTGAAATATGATGTAGGTAGCTAAATGCTCGAGTAAGCGAGGCCAATAAAAATAAATTTAAAAAACAACTTTTCTTTGAGGCACTCGACATTCTATTTTTTGCTACTTGAGCATTTTTTAACCTTCTATGGGCTAAGTTATAGCAATCGCAGAAATAGTAAATGAAATTTTTGGAATGTCTTTACGTTTTAAAAGTTTCTGAGCATTTTGGAATATCTTGAAAAAAAGGTGTATGTATGTATGCGTATGAGTATATCTTTACGTTTTGATCTTCTGAACATTTTGTATTTGTGTATGTGTGTGTAGTATGTATCGATGTATGTTTGGATACAATTTTTCGTCCACTATTTCGAAAGCACAGATCAATCGATTTAAATGATTTGAAGCATATTCAATTTCTATATATGGCTGATTAGTTTTTGGTAAAGGCAGGTCAGCCGTTTCGCAGACCCTCGACGTTTTTTAATCTTATTTTAATTTTTTTAAATCAATTTTCAGTTTTTAAAAAAATTAAAATTCTCAAAAAATGTAATTTTTTCAAATTGTAAGTTTTAAATTACGGTAAGGACACGCACCAAAACAGAGGTTTGGTTCGAAATAGTGTAAAAAAATATAATTAATAAACATAAATATACTTATTAAAATAAAAAAACGAAAATAATAAGAGCATATTTTTGAAATTCTGTTATATCCTATTGCTTGTTTTCAGTGTAAGGTACTTTTTCACAATTTTGTATGTGATTGTAAGCACTTGTGAAATTTTCTTCTAACTTTTGTACTCATTTCATTTGAATGATATTTGCTTAAGAAAAATGACTAACTCTTCTGGTAAGCCTAGATTGTTTTCCGAAAAACGTTACGAAAAAAAAATGTCAAAAGAAGAATATTTTGCACTATATTTATCACGTTCATTGAGATGTTGAGAGGTGTTGTCACTGATTTTTACTGAAAGTTCGCTTTTAATAGCTGTTATTATTAACTTCGCGTAGGGTAAGCTTTTGCAATCATCCAAAAATCACAATTGAAAATTTTTGCATTTTTTCGTATTCTGAAGGTTTTTGAAAATATGGATATATGTGTGTGTGTGTGTGCATATGTATGTATACAATTTTTCGTTTACGTTTTATGGCGCACCGATTTGAAAGATTTAAAAAACATTTGATTCTTATTGATAGGCAGATGTGCTGATTAGTTTTTGGCAAAGACAGACCCAGCCGTTTCGGAGATACGAAGCAAAGAGTGCAGAAAATATGAATCGTGATTTTGAGAGAACGTGTATTGGATTTGAATGATCTAAAAAGCATACAATTTGTAACGATGTGGGAAATTGGTGATTAGTTTTTGGCAAAGGCAGGTCCAGCCATTTTGGAGACACGGAGCTAAATGCGCAAAAAATGTCAGTTTTTGAGATATTTAATCATCCGATTTAAATGATTCAAAAAACTTTCTGCTTGTATTGACGAAACAATTGCTTTTGGGAATTTGCTTTTGTATTAAATTACTTTTGTATATCGAAAATATTTCGGATTTCAATTTTAATTCTGACTACAGTTCTAAAACTCATTTATTTACTTTAAATAAATATTTTTAACTTTGCAATTAATTCACTTTATATAATTCTTATAAATATTTGATAATGTTCTTCATTTTAAATCCGATTAATTAAGTTTTGTTTATTAACTTCCCATAGGGTAATTTATAGTAATGGGCCAAAAATTGAAAATGAAAATTTTTGCATATCTTTACGTTTGAGATTTACTACCTCAGAAAAAGTTGATGTGTGTGTGCGTGTTTGTAAGTATGTGGATACAATTGTTCCACGACGTTTTTGGGAGTATCGCTCAGCCGATTTGAATGATTAACTAGTGGTGTATGGCATCGTGTCTTAAGGCAACCGTAATGAAATATTCGAAGAACAATAAATTCCTTCAAATAGATTATTATAAATACTATAACTTACATATCTTTACAGAAAAGTAAATAAACAAAATCGAATAAATCGAATTTAAAATTAAGGACATTGATAATATTTATAAGAATTATATAAACTGAATAGCAAAGTTAATATTATTTATTTGAAGTATGTAAGTATATAATATAAGTGAGCTTTAGAACTTTATCTAGAATTAAAATAAAAATTTGAATTATTTTTGTCATTGAAATTTTTTTTTTTAGAAATTAAAAAAAAAATTTAAGAAAATTCACAAAAGCAATCATTTTGACAACACAAGCAGAAAGTTTTTTGAATAATTAAAATTGGATGCTCCGTTCTCTCAAAAACTCGATTTCTATTTTCTGCATACTTTGGTCCGTATCTCCGAAATGGCTAACCTGTCTTTGCCAAAAACTAATCAACATATCTCCCTATCAATAGGAATCGAATGTTTTTTAAAACATTCAAATTTGTTGATCATTGACGAAAAATTGTATCCATACATACATATACACACACATATTTTTTCTTAAGTCAGAAATTAGATATTTTGTCATTAAATATTATAATAGTTTTAATAAGTTACTTATAAGTCAGTAAGCTGAGTGAATCTTGCCTCTGAGTGCAGGTAAAATTTTGTTAAATTATCCCCATCAGAGGGGACATAGTGCCAAGCTATGCAACTGTTGATACAATCAGAGCATCTAATAATTTGAACACATCGCTATGCCCAGGTTTATCAGATGTAGCCCAAAACCCGATAACAAACTCATGCGACGTTGTCAATAGTAAAATCCTTGACTGAGGTGTCAGAAATAATTTCAGAAAACGTCATTTTACGACTTAATGAGTCATTGAAGAGTCTTTAAAAATTGATAAATGAGCTGCACATGATTGTCAAATCAAAGTCAAACATACATAAAGAAGTGAAAATAAAAGCAGGCAACATAGCGGCTGTAATAAAACATTTATTGATTTAGACGACCAAAGTTTGTGAAACAGCCCATGTAGAGGAAAGTGAACGGCAAGTAAACAAGCGAGGTCTCAAGAATACTCACAAAATATAAGAAACAGTCAGTTTAATTAGATAAATGGTTTGGCAAGACGTCAGTCGATCGTAGAAATACGAAACAAAGAACAAATCGAGGTAAATAACTGGCACAAAGTTCAGCCGAGGAAATAGAAAAAAGGAAGCAAGGGTACATCTGTCAGTCTAAAAATCTCTAATCATAAAATGTTGAAAAATCTTAGAATACTTCCCAAACCAAATGCCTTATTGATTCGGCCTATTCCGAAATCTTGCGCCTTATCGAACAAGATGCCTCTGATGACCAGGTAAATATGAAAGTAGACAAAATAAATAAAACCAGAAATGGAGACTTGTTTATAACCATATCCAAGAAGAGCGCGGATAAAATCCAAGGACTACAACAGATTATTGCAGGCGTGTTAAAGGATGAGGCCGAAGTTATCTTTAAGGGGCACCAAGAAATTCTAGAAATAAGGGATATTGATGATGAAACCTCAAAAATTGATATCCAGTCTGCACTACAAAAAGCAACCGGAAGATGCTGTAACACACCAGCAGAAGCAATTAAGATTCGTAAGGCATGCAGAGGTACCCAGATTGCCACTGTAGCTCTACGAGCGCCAATTGTACACGATCTGCTCAAGGCAAGTAGCAAAATACAATGCTTTAAATGCTGGCTACTCGGACATTATGGATCACAGTGCAAGAGCGAAGTGAATCGCACCAATTTATGCATTGGATGTGGACAAGAAGGTCACAAAATAGCCAACTGTATAAATGCAGCAAATGCGCACTATGGAAATGGAAGCACTGAAAAGGTAGCACATCATGCCAGCACTTACATATGTCCTGTATATAGGGAGGCCTTGTAGAAAATAATGAACAGAAAAATATGAAGATAATGCAGCTAGACATGAATCATTGTGAGGCTGGACACGACTTGCTCATGCAGACGGCAAGAGAAATGAAAATTGATATTGCCCTCTTATCAGAACCTTACAAACAACTAACTGATAGCCCATGGGAAACGGGCAGTACGACCAAAGCTGTTATTGGTCCTGTGGCAAATTTTGTTTCCAGAACGCCGTTAACAATAGCAACGCTGGATTTGTAGTAGCATCATTAGATTGCATACATTTATACAGCTGTTACCCTCCACCTAGTTTTTCTTCGCCAGATTTTGTTGATTTCTTAGATCGTTTAGTAGAGGATGCAAAACAACACCACCCCGTAGCAATAGCCGACGACTTCAACGCATGGGCGG